AGTAAGGAAAAGGGGATTTCCTTGGCAGGGAGATACCTAGCTGGTGATTTTCCTAACTGGCTTGTACCGTATTAATTTAGGAAATAACCTGACCTGTACTTTGAGCAACAAAAGGAATAAATGAATGAATGCAATCAAAGACTACAAATTTCTTCATTCAATCTGTTTAGAGCATTATACACAGGTGACAGGAATGCTGACAAGTCCTGGCCTAGAGAGCATAATTTGGGGTGCTTATGAAGAGGACTGAACAGAACAGGATCTGGAGGACGATAAAAGGTATGCAGAGGTCTGAGCAAAAGTTTCATGAAATACTGTCTCAGGATAAGGGTGCTGCCTTTTTATTTGTTTTGACCATCAAGAACAGAACCAGTGCTAGCCGTAGTCGGCCCTGTTGCCATGTGCTTCCGTCAAATGTCAACTGAAGGAACAGAAGAACCTATGGCAGCTGGCACTGAGAGCATGTGCAGAAGGAGGGAGGCGGGGCTCAGGCTGAACTTGAGAATGCGGCCTCTAGTGCCTTCCTCACTCGCTCCACTGATGCACGCGGTGACTGGCGGGGAATGAGAGTCTGGTGGGGAGGAGGCGGCGGGTGGGAGGAGGGAGGTGGGGAAATGAAAGGGGAATTCACTTAAGAGTTAGCCTCTAGCACCTTCCTCACTCGCTCCACTGACGCCCGGAGTGACTGGCGGGGGATGAGGGTCTGGAGGGGAGGGAAGACAAGTGGGAGGGAGGATGGAGGGAAGAATTGGGGTAGCCACTAAGAGTCAGCCTCTACCTCTGGTGCCTCCCTCACTCGCTCCACTGATGCCTGGGGAGACTGGCGGGGAATGAGTGTCAAATTGTTTGTGCTGGATTTGTTAGCCTAGATTAAGGTTAGCTATTGTGCCACCCGGCCCTTTCAGTTCAGTCACTCCTCTCAATTCTGTTTCCAACAGTGAGGGTCTGGGAGAGGGGCGGAGAGAGGCTGGGAGGGAGGGGGAAGGGAATGGAGGGAGCTGATATATATACATACATACATTTACACATATATATATCTGTACATATATATGTATATACATATATTTACACAAAATATATAGATATATATAAGTGAGATGTCGAAGGATGTCAAGCAAGGTAGGAGGGTGGCCCTGCCAAGCAGCATGCAAGCATGCTGACCTCATCATCCTTCCCTGATTGGTCCACCGTCCCGCACATCATACTGGTATGCATCTATCTAAGAGAGCAAGTAGGCCTACCTCTACAGCGTTCCCTGATTGGTCCACCGTCACTCTCATCATGACTGGAATCTCGTACTGATATGCCTCCATCCACTCCTGCCTCGCTGTTATGTCGCGCACCTGCATGCACATGCACAGGGGAAGAGCACATGCACAGGGGAAGAGCACATGCACAGACAAGCCATGGGAAAGGGAATGTGTCAAGTTATGGCAAGACGAGTACTGATATGCCTCCATCCACTCCTGCCTCGCTGTTATGTCGCGCACCTGCCACAGTGCGTGCACATACACAGGGAAGGGGGAATAGGGATTTGTGGCTGGGGAATGGGGACACAAGAAGGGGGATCGGGGGATGGGGGACGGGGGAAATGGTGGTTGGGAAATTGGGGATGGTGGATAAAGAATGAGAAGGGGTGGTTGGGGCATGGGGCATGGGGGAAGGGGAGCGGGGATGGTGAGGGGGGAATGAGGATTGAGGAATAGGGAGTGGTGGATGGGGAATGGGGATGGGAAATGGGGGACGGGGGATGGGGCATGGGGAATGGGGGGTGCGGGAATGGGGAAAGGAGAATGGGGAACGGGTGATGGGGAATGGGTGGTGGGAAATGGGGGATGGGGAATGTGAGATTGAAAATGGGGGATGTAGAATGGGAGATGGGGAACGGGGGATGGGGAATGGGGAATGGGGAATGGGGAACGGGGAATGGGGAATGGGGAATGGAGAATGGGGAATGGGGAATGGAGAATGGGGGAATGGGAATGGAGAATGGGGGAAGGTGGGAATGGAGATGGGGAATGGGGAATGGAGAATGGGGGAATGGGGAATGGAGAATGGGGATTTTGATGGGTTTCTCCCCAGCGCACCTCTACCTGCACTGCTCTCCGACCCACTCAGCAGCAGCGCCGCCTTGATCTTCCCCAACACTCCTTCCCCTCTTCTCTCCCCCATCATCCCCACCCCATCCCCTAGCCTCTCCCCCTTCCCCCCTCCTCCCCCTCTCCCCCCCTCCTGCGCACCTCAATTTGCAATCGCTCGAGAGCACTGCTCTCCGACCCCATCAGCAGCGCCGTATCAATCCCGCGTATTTCCCACATTTCCCATGCGCATTCTCCCTTTCCCCCCCACCACGCACGCACCTCAATCTGCAATCCCTCCAGCGCACTGCTCTCAGTCCCTATCAGCAGCGCCGTGTCGATTTTCTCCCCATTTCCTCTCCCCCCCCCCCCCAACCCCCGCATTCCCCCTTCGACGCACCTCAATCTGCAGTCCCTCCAGCGCACTGCTCTCAGTTCCCATCATCAGCGCCGTGTCGATTCTCCAACCCCCGCATTCCCAATGCGCATTCCGCCTTCTCTCCCCCCCTTCCGCGCACCTCAATCTGCAGTCCCTCCAGCGCACTGCTCTCAGTGCCCATCATCAGCGCCGTGTCGATCTTCTCTTTCAGCCCGTCGCACAGGCAGCACCCCTCGCGGCTGTATATCACCAGCCGCGGCCCGCTCCCCGCGCCAACCTCGCCTTCCGCGCCCCCCGCGCCCGCTCCGCCACTCGCTTCCGCTCCGCCTTGCGAGCTTGCCGCTGCCAGTGCGCGCGCCTGCCCTATTCTGGTGCGGACGCCGGCGATGGCGGGGCTTCCGCGCGTGACACGTGGCAGGAGGGGAGTGGACGAAGGAAGGAGGATGGGATCGTATGTGCGCATTGGTAAGGATTGGTTCGAATTGCTTCTACAGACTAACCGGTTGGGCAGAGCCGCGGCTCGGAACAACGGACGAACAATGCTGGCCATTTCGCCGGCCCTCACCGCTAATGTTTGGCTTATTGCCACGGGCACGACCCTGGAACGCGGTGAGATTCAAGTGGGGAGAGACAACAGAGGTGACGCTAGACAGCAGGAGGGAGCGCAGCGGCCAGATTGCAACTACAGCTGGCGAAGCTGATCAAATCTAAAAGGCACAGCGGGAGGGCGGATGATGATATCTGTAGGTTCTAGGTGCGGCGTTGTCCGCGATTCAGAAACACTCGGTAAACCAAGAGATTTATACGACGTACGAACTTATCTCATAGACGTACAATCGTACCAATCCCCGATTGGATTGGTTGCTGGGAGAAGTGGAGGTGTTGGGGGGAAACTGTTTTATTGGTTGAATGAGATACTCCCTGAGCCAATGAAGTATCAGGTCAGGTTCTGTGCGCAACCTTGACACGCATAACATGTCACGGGCTGATCTTTCCACGCTGTCGAAGCAGGGGTAATCTGTTTGGAAAAGCGACACTAGATGAAGTTTGCGAAACGTGTTTCCGAGTTTCAAGACAGTATTTCTCCTCACCTGGCAGTGCTTAAAGACTCTACACTCTATAGGGGGAGTTAGCTATTCGAGCAGTAAAAGTTTTTGCGTTGCGAGCCATGCTGCCTTCCCCCCCTTTTCCGAAATTTGCTGCTTGGTCTCCGTTCGCAAAAATAAAAGGGGACAAGCAAGCAACACCCTTCCCAACTCACTTCCCTCACAGGTCACGAGTCACACCGATACGTCCGAGCGGATGTGGTAGGTTGCCTTGGCTCACATCAGCAGGCAGAGTTTGGCTCAATCCAAAAGCACGAATCTGGACATTCTGCTGCTAACATAGTGCACGCAGAGAAACGGCGAGAAGTCGCTTAGTATTCGGGCTGTCGTCGTCGCGTCAAACGCGGTTCTCGCGGCAGGCCGTTCGTTAGTCGCTGCTTCCCTGCGCGCCCAGGGGCAGCGGGATTTATAATCTCTCGCTGTAAACACTTCTTGCCTTTCTCGCGTCGCACGCTGCAGATTACTAATCCCTTTCTACCCAAACCGCCACAACCACTGCTCGCAATTTCGTTGCTTGAATCCATTTAACGACAGGCAGGCTCGAGCTAGCCGGGAGCAAAGAATGGGAGGAGGAGCGGACAGAAGGCGAGCGCTTTCGCTGTTATCGCGCACCCTATCTTACGCCACGTCAGCATCCCTAGAATCCAATCGCGTGCCGTCCTACTCGTCCTACTCCTCGCTGCTGCTGCTGCGACGCGGACTGTCGTCGCCTGCCGCCAATCTCTCGTCGCCGAGCGTCGCACCGTCCATCCCTGCACGTCGCCGCCACTCACTACCGTCGCAACACACCCCTCGCCTCGCCCTACACACCGCTCGCCTCTCGTATCCCCTCGCCGCTAGTCGCAAAGCGTTACCACCCGTAAGCGTCGCCTCCTCCGCGGGTTTTCTGGGTCGTTACACGTCCGCCCGTGCGCTCTCGACACGTGGCGGCTGCTCAGATGGACCGAATGACGTGGCAGCGTTTCGGGTCTCCCGCGATGGTCGAGACGGTTTAGGAGACGGTTGCTCTCGTTCGAGCGACGGCGACAGGTCAAGGCGTCGCGCGCTGCGATGCCTGTCGCAGCCAGTCGAGGATTTCATGCGACCGTTCGTCGACGTGTCGCCCGCGATGTCGTCGTCGCACGGTGGTCGCTGGTTCGTCGCAGAGGGAGAAGGACGGAACGTGTATCGTAACAGAGAAACTAATAAAGGGTACGTCGTGGACTATTCGGTAAACGAAGCAGTCGCCTCAACTGACGCCCTCGTCCCTTCGTCGCACACTTTCGCAGCATCGTCGCGATCCGACGTGGCGTCGCCTCGAATCGTCGCACAGGGAGCGGAATGGGCGGACGACTTCCCGCTCTCGTTCAACAGCTTCCCCGCCCCGCCCAACCCTCGTCGCACAGGGAGCGGAATTGCCGCTAGCTTCACCCCCGCGTGGCCCAACGCGCGCCTGGAAGGGCCGGGGGGAGCGTGGGCGGTGCCCGTGTGGGTGGAAATAGCGGCGACGGCGGAGAGGGGAGCGGGCGGGGATGGGGGGGAGGGCGGGCTGGTGTGCGGGGAGGCGGAAGCGACGGTGTGGTTGCCGGGGGTGGCGGAGCGGCGGGAGCGGGTGACGGAGGCGGAGGGGGGGAGCGGGCGCGGGGACGAGGAGCTGCTGTGCCCCGACTGCCGCGCGCCCCTCTCGCTCCTCTCTTTCCCCGCGCTTGCCTTCCCCCATTCCCCCTCCTCCCCGTCCGCGTCCGCGCTATCTCCGCCCATGTCCGCGGCGGAGGCGCGCGCGAGCGGGCGCGCGGTGCTGTTCTGCCGCCAATGCCAGCGATTCACCGACAGGCCGGTGGCGGGAGGGACAGGGGAGGCGGAGAATGGGCGGAAGGGGAAAGACGAGGGGCAGCCGCAGGTGACGGCGGAAGGGCAGTGCGCAAGCGGGGGGAAGGGGGAAGGATTGGGGAAGGGCAAGGCCGGGGGGGCGCGAGAGTGGGGGAGTTTGTGGAGGCGGACTGGTATGAAGCGGACTGGAAACATGTCTTCCCCCTTTCCGCCGTCACTCCCCCCGAGCCCCCCGCCTCTGACGCGTGGCAGTGGTCCCGCTTTGGGCGGCAACTTAGCCGCCAAGACGGCCGCCCGGGCGGCAGGTCTGCGCGCAGCGAGCTGGACGGGATGATGGGCGGGGCGAGCGGGGGGGAAGGGGGAGCGCGCGGAGGGATGCGCGGGAGGAGTATGTGAATCGGTTCAAGGCGAGTTTGCAGGGGTGGGGGGGGCACCCGTGGGCGCAGGGACAGGGGCAGCAGGGGCAGGGACAGGCAGGCGCGGGGGGAGAAAAGAAAGCGCAAAGGCAGGGGCAGGGGCGGAGTGAGGGGCAGCAGGTGGGCAGCAGCGGAAGGAATAGAAGCCCTGGCGGTGGCGGAAGCAGCGCCAGCGCGTATCCCCCTAGCTTCTCCTCCCCCCTCCTGCACGCCCCCAGAGGCCCCCCCGCCCCGCCTCCGCCCCCGTCCCCCCTGGCCGCGCCCACGCAGATCCCCCCGCGCCTGGCGCGGGTGCGGGGGAGAAGCGGGGGGGGGGGCAGCAGAGCGGGGGAGGGGAGGGGAGGGAGGGGCGGGAAGGGCGGGAAGGGCGAGAGGGGAGGGAGGGGCATGTGCCGTGTTTTGGGGCGGCAGGGGGAGGGGGGGACGGGACAGAGCACAACTGGGGAGGGCGAATCTGGGGGAGAATCTGCCCACGCCCAAGCAGATCCGGGCAGCTCTGGATGAATTTGTGATCGGGCAGGATAATGCGAAAAAGGTGAGCGGGTGCTGGTGACGTGGCAGTTACTGTTAGGCTGGTGGTGTAACAGGTTTACAGTCACAGACTCGCTAAGAGCAGTATTTTTTCTTCTTTTGATTTTATTTGTAACCGAATGTTTGCAGTGGCGGTGGTGTACCCACTACGAGCGCATCTTCTCTATAAGCTCATTTCGTTACGAGCCCTTTCCGATCCCCGTATGCTACCCTTTGCTGCAGGTTTTGGCAGTGGCAGTTTACAATCACTACAAGCGCATCTTTCTTGAAAACCAGAAGCGGGAAAGACTTGCCAACCTGCCAGAGGGGTGAGAAGGGGTAAAAAAAAGGCGAGAGGAGGTTCAGAGGGGGTGAGAGGGGGAGGAGAGGAAGTGGGAGAGGGGCTGTGTGCTGTGTGTGGTGAGGGATGGAGAGGAGAGGAAATGTTCTTTAAAGTGATTCAAGCAAGGATTAGAGGGAGAGGGAGAGGGAGTGACCGGTCATCTACCTGAACGATCCCCTTTTCTACACCTCACATGGGGGAAAGAGATTAGGCTTGCTCCACATTTTGCCCACTGTCCGCCCTCCCTCACTCACTCACTTCTGTTCTTGCTCACCCCCATGGTGGATAAGAGCAACGTGCCCCTCACTCCCTACCCTCTCCCTATGCCCCCCGTCGCCCTCTCTTCCACCTCTCTTCCCCCCTGCAGGGCGTGCGAGAACCTGGTGGGGGGCGGTGAGGAGGACGAGGTGGAGGTGGAGAAGAGCAACGTGCTGCTGATGGGTCCCACGGGTTCAGGTGGGTGCAAGAATCACCACTGCAGCATACGGGGGCAGGGCCGCATGGGAGCAGCGGAATAGCATAGGGTAGGGCAAGCATGGGACGAGGTGCAGGTGGGGAAGAGCAACGTGGTGCTCATGGGAGGGACCCACAGGCTCTGGTGGGTGGGTGGTTGGATGCAGCCCATCGGAAGCAGTAGGTGTTTGGACGGGTTCAGGCGTCGTGTCGTCTCAAAACTCGATGGGCCCGACTGACTGACCCATGGGTCCCTCGCACGGGCCCCGATCATGTCGCTCGCATACAGCTGTTCAGGTACTATCGCCTGTCAAGCAAGGGCTGCCCAGAGGTTTATTGGAGGGAAGATTTTAACAGGCTCATGAATGCGTGTATGCGTTCTTGCCTTCCTGTCGCCCAGCGGTCTCATGAGCAACGTGCTTCTCATCTCGCTCACGCGTGTGTCTCTCTCTCACTCAACTTATCCCACTCCCCACCTGTCAACTCACCTTATCGGCTCCACTCCATCCGCCCACTCCCTACCCGCTCCGCGCCTGTCCGGCCTGTGATGGCAATGTGGTCAACATCCCAGGCCACTCCCTACCTTATTCTTTGCGGGCGGTATTTCAACCGCTGCTGTCCCTTGGGTGCAGTGCATGCAGGCAAGACCCTACTGGCCAAGACTCTGGCGCGGTTTGTCAACGTGCCATTCGCCATTGCTGATTTTTGAGTCGACTCAAAAAAGTCCCCTCCCCCCACACACTGGTGGGTGACTATCCCCTCCCCCCCCCCAACGCGTGCAGGCAAGACCCTACTGGCCAAGACTCTGGCTCGGTTTGTCAACGTGCCATTCGCCATTGCTGATGCCACACTCTCACTCAGGTCGCTTTTAACGAGGTGACTCTTAATTGACTCAAAGGCCACTCTCACCCAGCTGCGTCTCATACACCACTCTCATCAACTTCCACACCCAGCTGCGTCTCATACCGCCCCTCTCATCAACTTCACACCCAGCTGCGTCTCATACCGCCACTCTCATCACTTCCACACCCAGCTGCGTCTCATACCGCCACTCTCATCAACTTCCACACCCAGCTGCGTCTCATACCGCCACTCTCATCAACTTCCACACCCAGCTGCGTCTCATACCGCCACTCTCATCAACTTCCACACCCAGCTGCGTCTCATACCGCCACTCTCATCAACTTCCACACCCAGCTGCGTCTCATACCGCCACTCTCATCAACTTCCACACCAGCTGCGTCTCATACCGCCACTCTCATCAACTTCCACACCCAGCTGCGTCTCATACCGCCACTCTCATCAACTTCCACACCCAGCTGCGTCTCATACCGCCACTCTCATCAACTTCCACACCCAGCTGCGTCTCATACCGCCACTCTCATCAACTTCCACACCCAGCTGCGTCTCATACCGCCACTCTCATCAACTTCCACACCCAGCTGCGTCTCATACCGCCACTCTCATCAACTTCCACACCCAGCTGCGTCTCATACCGCCACTCTCATCAACTTCCACACTCAGCTGCGTCTCTCTGATTCTCAGGTTGGATACAGCCTGGTTTCCACACTCTTTCACACGGGAGAGTTCACCAGTATGGTTAACCAGTAGGGTTAACTCTCCCGTGTCATGGTATGCCACTTAGGGAGTGCGTGACAAGGGGCATATTATTACTATCACCGTTGCTCTTGAGCCAATTCCCACACGATGACTCGTGATTCGCCTCAAAGGTCACTTCGTTACAGTGGCATGCAGGACAACGGGCTTTCTACTAGAACTGTGTTTCCTGAGCCAACGCTCACCTATTTCTCATTCTCTGGTGCTGTTTGTCGTGCAGGCTGGTTATGTGGGAGAGGACGTGGAGATGATTCTCTATAAGCTGCTGCAGGTGAGGGACAGAAGGGGTTGTTGGGGTTGGGACAGGGAGTGGGGGGTGGGGGGGTTATGTTATGTTAGTGTTTCTGCTCCTCGTGCAGGCGGGGTATGTGGGAGAGGACGTGGAGATGATTCTCTATAAGCTGCTGCAGGTGAGGGGGTTTGGAAGAGGTGAGACGGGTCAGTAGAGGTGTTAGCTTGTCGTGCAGAGGACGCGGAGATGATATTTTACAAGTTGCTGCACCTACAAGTGGAGGTGAGGGTAGGGTTGCTGCACCCGGTCCCAACCCCGGGTGGCTTCACGTAGCTCAACTGCTCCTTACAAGTTACATTCATTTTGCTCCTGATGTGCATGCTTGCATGTTCATGACTATCTGTTCTGTGTGTGATTCCCATGGTGGTGTGTGTGTGTGCGTGACTGTCCATTTGTCTTACGCAGAGCGCCAATTTCAGTGTGTCAGCAGCGCAGCAGGGCATCGTGTATATCGACGAGATCGACAAGCTTACCAAGAAGGTGGGCTCGCTAGCAGCACTAGCGGCACTAGCTGCACGGGCACTAGGAGATGCAACCCCCCCCACTAAAGCAGCAGCGCAGCAGGGATCGTGTATATCGACGAGATCGACAAGCTTACCAAGAAGGTAGGCTTGCTAGCAGCACTAGGGGCACTAGCGGCACTGGCGCTAAGTAGGTGCTCCCCACCCCACCAGAGCAGCAGCGCAGAAGGGCATTGTAAACATAGATGAGATTGACACGCGCACTAAAAACATGAGCTTAATCTGGACAGCCCCCGCTCTCCCCTCTGTGCGTGCCTGGACAGGCAGAGGGCATCACGAGCACACGGGACGTGTCAGGGAAAGGCGTGTTGGAGTGTCTTATCCAATAAGTGTCTTACTGATTCCTCTCTCCCCCCTCTCTCATCTCCGCGCCCTGTATGACTGCACAGGCAGAGGGCATCACGAGCACACGGGACGTGTCAGGGGAGGGCGTGCAGCAGGCGCTTTTGAGGATGCTCGAGGGCGCTGTGAGTAAAGAAGGGGGGGGGGGAGGGAGGGTATGGGAGTATGTGAGGAGGTTGGAGGAGGCGGGATGGGAGGGACGTGTCAGGGGAGGGCGTGCAGCAGGCGCTGTTGAGAATGCTCGAGGGCGCTGTGAGTGGGGGGAAGGGGTGGGCTGTAAGGGGATATGATGTGAGCTGGTTTGAAGGACGGTGGGATGAGAGACACAGGTCTATTGGCGTTTGAGATGTGGCAGGGGAGGGCGTGCGGCCGCCGTTGTTGAGGATGCTGAGGGGCGCTGTGAGGGTGGTGTGAGCATCCATGAGCCCGTTTGTCACACGTGTGTGTCCCTCTACCTACTGGTGCGGAGCGGATCTTCTCACTCCCCCTGGGCCCTGGGTGCAGGTGATTGATGTGCCAGAGAAAACAGGGAGGAAGTCCTTCAGAGATTTAGGGCGCCTTGTAAGTCTCATGTGCCGGTCTTCCCCCTGCTCCTCCCCTCTTCTCCCGGGTGCAGGTGATCAATGTGCCAGAGAAAACAGGGAGGAAGAATCCAAGAGGCGAGTTCATACAGGTACGGGCTACAGGGGTGCGGGAGTGCGAGGGTTGCAGGGGTGCAGGGGTACGGGGGTAGAACAACGATTACCGGGTGTTTCTGTTTTGAGACGTCTCAAAACACTTCTTCAAACACGGAGTGCGAGGGTTGCAGGGGTGCAGAGGGGTACGGGGGTAGAACAACGATACCGGGTGTTTCTGTGCGAATGCCTGGAAATCACAACGAATATCACACAGAGCGGAAAGGGTTTCTGCTCAATGGCTAGATACGTTTGAGGCGCATTCCAAGTCGGAGTGTGTTTGTTAGCATGGCTAGCGACCTTCATCCCCTTGGAATTTACCCTCAACAGAGCGTGAGGGTCGATGAAGAGTATGTCTACCACCTCTTATTCCAACTTTTGAGGCGCGTCAGGAGTTGTCTCCATTCATGCTTACTGCCTGCCATTCCCCTCCCGCATACCTCCCCTTTCTTTGCCCCACCCATCCCACCAGGTTGACACACAAGACATACTCTTCATCAACCCTCACCTCTGTTGCTTGCCGTGCCAGCCAATTCCCAGCCCAATACCCCCTTTCCCATACTTGACTTTGCCTTTCCCCTCCCAACCCACCAGCTGGACACACAGAACATTCTCTTCATCTGCCCTCCACTGCCGCTGCCTGCTATTCCCACCCCCACGCCCCAAGCCACATGCCCGATGCCCCATCCACCCCAATGCTTCCCCTTATCCCACCCCGCCAGCTGGACACACAGAACATTCTCTTCATCTGTGGAGGGGCATTCGTGGATCTGGAAAAGACGATTGCAGAGAGGTGAGGCGGAGGCTGCTTTGCTGACTCAAAATGCACTCACTGATACGTCTGCTACCGTCAGGTTTTTGAGATTTCTCAAAACATTTGCTGACTCAAAATGCACTCACTGATACGTCTGCTATCGTCAGGTTTTGAGATTTCTCAAAACATTTTGCTGGACTCAAAATGCACTCACTGTAATACGTCTGTCTATTGTCAGGTTTTTGAGAATTCTTCAAAATTTGCTGACTCGAAATGCACTCACTGATACGTCTGCTGTCGTCAGTTATGACCTAAAAAAAAAAAATCGAAGAAAAGACAATCGCACTGAAGGTGCGCAACCATGAGTTTTGGGGCAGGGAAAATGAAGCCACCGTTTCTCGCCTTTCAGTGCGATTGTCTTCGCCGCAGCAGTGTGTGCTACAACTGTGTATGCAGGCAATGTCAGGGAATGCAGTCCATCTTAACTACTTGCCTACTATGATGACCCACCCACATGTTAGAAACGACTTTCAATAATTGTCTGCAGTTTGACTCTAACATTGACTGCGGTTTGAATCGGTCTGATTGTCTGCAGTCAATGTTAGGAATGTATCTCCTGCCTTTCGTTGGCCGTGCTATGCTAGCCCTCAGAGCTCCTAAGCGCGCAACTCTGCAAGCACTGCAAGCACATACAATGTTGTCTTGACTGCATGGTCTTGACTCTCTCTATTACCATTCATTTGTTGCAGGAAGCGCAAGTCATCAATCGGCTTCGGGGCCCCCGTGTGACATTGCTGCAATCATTGCAAGCAGACATGAGACTGACTGCATTCCATGACTCAAATCCCAATATTACCTTGCTGCGTGCAGGAAGCACAAGTCATCCATCGGCCTTCGGGGCCCCCAGTGCGCGCATCGCTGCGCAACCGATCGGTGCTTGACGCCCGCACTGCCGGCTCGCTGCTGCAATCGGTGAGTGCTAACTCTATACCGTTGGTTTGTTTGTTTGTTTTTTTGTGTGATTTGTTTGTTGGTTTGATTGTTTGGTTTGGGTTTTGTTTTGTTTTGTTTTTGTTTTGTCATTGTTTTAGCGCGTGTGCCAGCGATCCATGCTTGCAACACTTGCTGTGTGTGCTTGTGGGCGTGCTGCTTTTGAGAGCTGCTTTTCACTGTCCTATAAGCCACCTGCTGCAGTTGATGCGTGCTCTTCCTTCAACCATCCTTTCCCCGCCACCCCGCAAACCCCCTTCCCCCTTTTTTTGTATCAACGGCTCGCAGAGAGCACTTTTGAGGCGCCTCAAAAGTTGTCTCTCTACCCGCAATTCCCGTATCTCCCCCCCCCCCCCCCCCCCCCCCGTCTTTTTTTTTGCTCATCAACTGCACTCAGAGAGCACAGATCGGGTAGCCTACAGGCTCGTCCCCGAGTTTGTGGGGCGATTCCTTGTGTTATTGTTATACCCCTCCAGATCCTCCCTCCCCATCGTTCAACATCCCTCCCCACCCGTCCCCACCCCTCCCTACCCCTCTGGAACGGCAGGCAGAGAGCACGGATCTGATAGCCTATGGGCTCATCCCTGAGTTTGTGGGGCGATTCCCCGTGCTGGTGGGGCTGCATGCGCTCACAGAGGAGCAACTCGTGCAGGTAATGACTGGTGGCAGGTAATGACTGGTGCAGGTAATGACTGATGCAGGTAATGACTGATGCAGGTAATGACTGTGCAGGTAATGACTGGTGCAGGTAATGACTGGTGCAGGTAATGACTGATGCAGGTAGTGACTGATGCAGGTAATGACTGGTGCAGGTAATGACTGGTGCAGGTATATGACTGGTGCAGGTAATGACTGGGTGCAGGTAATGACTGGTGCAGGTAAGTGACTGGTGCTGGTAATGACTGGTGCAGGTAGTGACTGGTGCAGGTAATGACTGGTGCAGGTTAATGACTGGTGCTGGTAATGACGTGGTGCAGGTAATGACTGGTGCGGGTAATGACTGGTGCGGGTAATGACTGGTGCGGGTAATGACTGGTGTGTGTAGGCTTTGGTAACAACAGCTGGTGCTCATGGGGCTGCGTGCTTTCACAAAAGAAGCAACATGTGCAGGTAGGTGTAGTGCAGGTGGCAACTGGTGCAGGTGGCAACTGATGCAGGTGGAAGCAAAGGACCTTTCTTATGCACTTCGAATTATGTCTATATACAGAGCTGAGTGGCTTTCCTTGCATGATTCGACACGTATTTTGGTCCATCTTCTTTTCCTAATCCCTGCCCAGAAAATTTACGTTCTTAAAACCGGAGGGCCAAGAAGGCCCAAATTGCCTCAACCTTCCTAACCTTGGTTGAGTTTGGCCCTCGCACCCAAAATCTTGGCCAATTGTGTTGCTCGCTCCAACCAAGCTTCCTAAGGTTGAAGTTCTTGGCCCGCGGGTTGTAACCCCTGAAACACTACCCGATTCTTATCCCTCTCCCCACCCTCCTGCTCCTTCTCCGTACTCGTTCTCTCCTCTCGGTGTGGCTCTCACTTGCAGGTTCTCTTAAAGCCCAAGAACGCCCTCAGCAAGCAATTCGCCAAGCTATTGGCCATGAACAACGTGAGTGCAGTGTGGGCTGCTGGTTGTGGGTCACGAGCATTGTGTTTTCTATTGTATAAATAAGAAATCCAGACAGTTCTCGGTTAGCAAGCAAGTGCAATTTGCAAAGCTACAGGATGCAGAATAGCACTCAGTGTTGCCTTCTTCCCTTGTCCTCATGCTCTCCCAATCCTCCCCTCCCCTCTTACTGAGGCCCCGTCTGCACATGACAGAGGAGGCAGTGAGGGCCATTGCGTGGAGTACAAGCACCCATTCTTGCCCTTTTCCATGACCTCGTGCCATCTCCATCTCATCTCTTCCTGCCCTCCCTTCCACTCCACCCACTCAGGCCCGCTTGCACATGACGGAGGGGGCAGTGAGGGCCATAGCGCGCAGAGCAGCAGCGCGAAACACGGGGGCCAGGGGGCTGCGATCGCTGCTGGAGGGGCTGCTCACCGAGGCTATGTACGAGGTATGGCGGACTGCCGAGGCTATGTACGAGGTATGGCGACTGCCGAGGCTATGTACGAGGTATGGTGGCTGCCGAGGCTGTGTATGAGGTATGATGATTACCGAGGCTATGTATGAGGTATGGCGGTTACTGAGCCTCTGTATGAGGTACAATGTAATAGATACAGGTACTCACCAGGCCTATGTACGGGGTACGGTGTAACAGGCTAACAAAAGGTACGGCGGTTACTAAGGCTGTGTATGAGGTACGTACAGCAGTTACCGAGGCACTGCTTGAGGTACTGTACGGCAGTTACCAAGGCTGTGTATGAGGTACTGTGATCGCCAGTGGACCTTGGTATTGTTGTGAAGGCAATGTTGTTGGATGATGGTATCAGTGGGGGCTCGGAGGGAGGTGGGTTAACCTGCTCGCTGCTTTCCTCCATCCATCCCTCCATTCCGTTCCTTCCCACCCCCAACTCCCCAGGTCCCCAGCAATCTGGTGGAAGCAGTGGTGCTGGACGAGGCATCGGTGGGGCACGAGGGGGAGGAAGGGGGAAGAGGGCAAGCCGGTGTGCAACTGTGTCCTTGATCATTGCCCTCATTCCACGCCCATCCGTCATCTCATGCCCCAACCCACCAGGTCCCCAGCAGTCTAGTGAAGGCAGTTGTGTTGGACAAGGCATCGGTGGGGCACGAGGGGGAGGAGGGGGGCGACGGGGTAACCTGCACTCTGCCATCATCCATCCATCCCTCCTATCCCTGCTTCTTCCAAGCCTGATCTTCCCGTCCCTGCCATCCCTGCCATCCCCACCAGGTCCCCAGCTCTCTGGTGGAAGCAGTGGTGCTGGACGAGGCATCGGTGGGGCACGAGGGGGAGGAGGGCGAGGACGGGGTACCGGGGTGTGGGGCCCACATACTGCAAGGGGAGGGCTCGTGGGAGCGGTGGGTTGCAGGATAACGAGGGGGGAGGAGAGAAGGCGGGAGGGAAGGGAGAGGAGGGCCAAGGGGGAGGAAGCAAGGGAGGCTCATCTGGGGGAGGTGGAAGTGATGAGGAATCGGATGCAGCTCCTGCTCTTGCCACAGCCACTGCAGCTTGATCTGCCTTGTCGTCTCCTGTCGAGCACCTGTCTACCACGCTTGGACTCTTCTCAGCTCCTGCACTTGCCACAGCCACTGCAGCTTGATCTGCCTTGTCGTCTCCTGTCGAGCACCTGTCTACCACGCTTGGACTCTGCTCAGCTCCTGCACTTGCCACAGCCACTGCAGCTTGATCTGCCTTGTCGTCTCCTGTCGAGCACCTGTCTACCACGCTTGGACTCTGCTCAGCTCCTGCACTTGCCACAGCCACTGCAGCTTGATCCGCCATGCCACTGCATCTCCCATCCATGCATCTGTCTACTACCCCTTCTATTGTGGTGGACTGGGGGATGTCACCGTGCTAGAGCGTGCTGCTAGGTATCGGTGTATCCTTGCCGCTCGGAAGGTGGGATTGCAGGATGTTTTCATCATCTGTGTGTATATGCCTCCTCTTCTCTCTCGCTCGGAGTTCAACAGTTTGTCTGCCTCCGATGCATGTTTTCCTGCAAGTACTGTACTGCATGTATGATATACGTAGAGCAAACAAGGGGTACTATAACGCAGAGCGTGGACAATAAAGAGAGTGGACAATAGCGAGAGGGGAGATGAAACCCCCCCATGCCCCCCCAAGGCCCCCTAAGGCCCCCCTAAAGGCCCCCCTAAGGCCCCCCTAAGGCCCCCCTAAGGCCCCCCTAAGGCCCCCCTAAGGCCCCCCTAAGGCCCCCTAAGGCCCCCCTAAGGCCCCCCTAAGGCCCCCCCTAGGCCCCCCCTAAGGCCCCCTAAAGGCCCCCCCTAAGGCCCCCCTAAGGCCCCCCTAAGGCCCCCCTACAGGCCCCCCTAAGGACCCCCCTAAGGCCCCCCTAAGGCCCCCCTAAGGCCCCCCTAAGGCCCCCCTAAGGCCCCCCTAAGGCCCCCCTAAGGCCCCCCTAAGGCCCCCCTAAGGCCCCCCTAAGTGCCCCCCTACCCCCCAAATCCCCTCCAAATCCCCTCACAGCCCCCCACAGCCCCCCCCAACCCCCAATCCCCTGGCATGGCATCTATCCCAGGCATGGCATGGCATGGTCCTGGTTCTGGTCCTGGTCCTGGTCTTGTTCTTGTTCTGGTTCCCGTCTTGGTTCTGGTCTTGGTCCTGGTCTGTTCCTGTTCCTGGTCCTGGTCCTGGTCCTGTTCCTGTTCAGGTTCCTGGTCCTGGTCTTGTTCCTGTTCCTGTTCAGGTTCCTGTTCCTGTTCATGTTCCTGTTCCTGTTCATGTTGTCAGAAGGTGGCTGGAACAGTAACAAGACGGCACGAACAGCAGCTGGGCGGCAGCAACAGTAACCAGGTGGCCATAGCAGTAACTGGGCGGCTGGAACATTAACCGGGCGGCTGGAACGGTAAGCAGGCGACAGGAACCGTAACCGGGCGGCATAAACAGCAGCCGGGCGGCATGAACAGTAACCGGGCTTGCAGGCGCCAAGGCTAGGCCAAACCCACCCCGTGCCTAGCCTTGCCCAAACCCACCCCGCAGCTCTTATATATCGACACACGCACACACAAGTACCGTACAAAACAAGAGCAAGGTGCATGTCCTTGTAAATATCCTACTTGTAGATGTGCCTCTATCTTGGCGGGGTGAGAAGGTCTCTTCACGGCGCCCTGCAGCGGAGAGAAGGCCACCTGCGCAAGGCGGGTGGGGAGGGGTGGCAGGATGGCAGGTGTGACAGCATGGCTCTCCGAGCCTCATCCAGACCAGAGCGGAGAGTGAACAGTGCAGGATGGGAACCAGTGGGGTGAACAGTGCGGGATGGGGAAACAGTGGGTGAGCAGTGCGGGATGGGGAAGCAATAGGATGAACAGTGGGGGATGGGAAAACAGGGGGGTGAGGAGGAGTGCAGAGCAAGGGAACAACGAGTGCAGAGCAAGGGAACGACGAGTGCAGAGCAAGGGAACGACGAGTGCAGAGCAAGAGCATAGGAGAAGGGGGCCAGGAGAGTGAGAGCATAGGAGAAAGGGGCCAGGAGAGTGAGAGCATAGGAGAAGGGGGCCAGGAGAGTGAGAGCATAGGAGAAGGGGGGCCAGGAGAGTGAGAGCATAGGAGAAGGGGGCCAGGAGAGTGAGAGCATAGGAGAAGGGGGCCAGGAGAGTGAGAGCATAGGAGTAAGGGGGCCAGGAGAGTGAGAGCATAGGAGAAGGGGGCAGGAGAGTGAGAGCATAGGAGAAGGGGGCCAGGGAGAGTGGGGGACGTTGCTCTCACCTCGTGCCTCAACTGGCTTCGCCCTTAGCCTCGCCGCACCGTGCCAGCTGCGCACCGTCACTGTCTGGCAGAAACGAGCAATGGGCAGAAACGAGCAAGGGCGGAAACGAGCACGAGGACATGGCATGGCATGGTAATCGGGCTGGCCCGAGGCCATGAACAGTAACGGGGCGGCAGGAGCAGTGACGGGCGGCAGGAGCAGTGACCGGGCGGCATGAGCAGTGACCGGGCGGCATACGAGCAGTGTACGGGCGGCACGAGCAGAGACGGGCGGCACGAGCAGAGACGGGCGGCACGAGCAGTGACGGGCGGCACGAGCAGTGACGGGCGGGCCACGAACAGTGACGGGCGGCACGACCAGTGACGGGCGGCACGACCAGTGACGGGCGGCACGACCAGTGACGGGCGGCACGACAGTGACGGGCGGCACGACCAGTGACGGGCGGCACGACCAGTGACGGGCGGTACGACCAGTGACGGGCGGCACGACCAGTGACGGGCGGCATCAACAGTGACGGGCCGGCATGAACAGTGACGGGCGGCATGAACAGTGACGGGCGGCATGAACTGTAACCGGGCAGCGGGAACAGTAACCAGGCTTGTAGGGGCCAAGGCTAGCCCAAACCTACCCGTGCCTAGCCCAAACCCACCCCGCAACTCTTATATCGACCACACGCACAAGTACCATACAAACAAGAGCAAGGTGCATGTCCTAATAAATATCCTACTTGTAAGTATGTCTCGTGTCTTGGCGGGGTGAGAAGGTCTCTTCACGGTGCCCCGCAGAAAGGAGAGAAGACCTTTCTGCACAAGGCGGTGGTGGGGAGGGATGGCAGGTGTGACAGCATGGCGGATGGTTTAGAAACAGTGGCAGAGGTTTAGGGTGCAGCACAGGTGAGTGGAGGGGAGCAGAGCACGTGAGTGAGTGAGGAGCAATAGGAGCGAGCGCGAGGGGCCCTCACCTCACTGGCCTCAACAGGTCTGCCCAGAGCGCCTCCAAGTCTGCCCCAACCCTTTATGAGGTGCCTCAAAAATCTGCCCAGGGCGCGCCGAGTCTGCCCCAACCTTTCGAGGAGAGGAGGTGAACGGAGGGAAGGAGAGGTTTTAGCATAGGGGCTGGCGGAGGGCGGAACGAGGAGGAGGGCGGAACGAGAGGAAGGGCGCAACGAGGAGGAAGGCGCAACGAGGAGGAAGGGCGCAACAAGGAGGAAGGGCGCAACGAGGGGGAGGGCGGAACGAGGAGAAAGGGCGGAGGAACGAACAAGGGCAGAATGACGGAAGTGGAACGAGCAAGTGCGGAACGAGCAAGGGCGGAACGAGCAAGTGCGGAACGAGCAAGGGCGGAACGAGCAAGTGGGGAACGAGCAAGGGTGGAACGAGCAAGTGCGGAACGAGCAAGGGTGGAACGAGCAAGTGGGGAACGAGCAAGGGCGGAACGAGCAAGGGTGGAACGAGCAAGTGCGGAACGAGCAAGGGTGGAACGAACAAGGTGAGAAGAAACGCAGTCTGGCAGCAGAGAAAGAACACCTCTGATTCCAACTATTCTGTGGGAGATCGATTTCATTCTAACACAGCGAGTAGGTGCTGATAGTTTGAAAGAGAGATCAGCGCTGCTGTTCGATAGAAGCGAGCAGGGCGTAATCGGTGGTGGCGAGGACTACTAGGACGAGGTCGATGACAATGAGAGAGGCAAGGAAGGAGCGGCCGTGGTGAGAGAAGAAACGCAGTCTATGCACTCGTCTCTGCAGTCGTCTCTCGACCTGTTTGAGGGACTTAGAAACGTAAAAACGTGCGTTGCTCGACAATTTCGCGACCGTTCGACGGTGAGGTCCGACCGAGCCACCTCGCGCGCACGTGCGTTCGCTCCGCGCAGCGACCGTGTGACATGACATCGCATCATGCTGCAAACTAAACGGACATCAAACGCGATATTCGCTAATGAGAAAAAGCGCGGGACGGCTAAACGAAAGCGCTGCGCAGGGTGCAGCGCGAGGCGAGCAGGACGACGACTATCTAACGACCGCGAGGCGCACGAACAAACACGCGACTAGGACCTTAGCGAATGACACAGCCGCGGATTAGGTGGCTGTGACTGTAATTCTAGCTGCATAGTAGGTATGAGGGAAGAAGGTTCGAGTAGACCCGAAGACGGTTTGGGCTGAGGCAGCAGCGGGATGGATGGGACGGGTAGCTACCCAACCCCACCACACAATGTTTTGTAACATTGTGGGCAGTAGAAACAAAAGTAGGAACATATCGAACCATAAAGGGTGTATTCTGACCACTCCTACTAGTGTAAATCTCTTCGATTTTACTGTAGGTTGTGTGAAAGGTATCCAAACCCAACCGAAATGGAAAAAAAAAACAAAGAGAAATACACCCACATCTCCAATGGGTTTCAAAGCCTGTTCCAGCGCGCTTGTCGTGGTGGAACAGGTCAAGAAAAAAAAAACACCCACCAATGAAATTCAAAGCCTTGTCCAGCGCACGGATCGCGCGGTGAAACAGGTCAAGAATGATAGTATTACGGTGAGGTTGGTTCCAATATACAGCGCGGGTTCCGACGAATCCAAATTTACATAGTGTATATATTTCTTTTGCTACTCAACTAGCATCAATAGATGTTTGTATTCGAATGTGAATTGTTAAATGGGCATACGAGAAGATAAACAAAGGACACACATAATGGCAGTAGAAGTTGCGTAAACGGGAATCGCAAGCAAATATGCGTGAGGACGTATAAATCACACGATGCATACTAAACAAAAACGCAATAAATGTGTAATTCATGTCAATATTATCAATACGATAATCGATACGACGACGAGGACGACGAGGAGGGCAAGGAGGAGGAGGAGGACGACGACGACGAGGAGGAGGAGCAGGGGCGGACGAGGAGGAGGGCGACGACGAGGACGACAAGGAGGATGAGGACGAGGACGAGGAGGACGTGGAGGACGAGGACGAGGACGATGACGAGGAGGAGGAGGAGGAGGAGGAGGAGGAGGAGGAGGAGGAGGAGGAGGAGGAGGAGGGAGGAGGAGGAGGAGAGGAGCAGGAGGAGCAGGAGGAGCAAGAGGAGGAGGAGGAGGAGGAGGAGGAGGAGGAGGAGGAGGAGGAGGAGGAGGAGGAGGAGGAGGAGGAGGAGGAGGAGGAGGAGGAGGAGGAGGAGGAGGAGGAGGAGGAAAGGAGGAGGAGGAGGAACAGGAGGAGGAGGAGGAACAAGAGGAGGAGGAGGAGGAGGAGGAGAGGAGGAGGGAGGAGGAGGAGGAGGAGGAGGAGGAGGAGAGGAGGGGAAACACAAGCACAAGCAGCAAACAGTAAGTAGGAAATGCTCAATAGAAGTAGGACACACCAGCACGAGCACAAGCAGCAAACTGTGGTAGTGAGCATCCTCCTCACCATCGAGCAGCAAGAGGAAATGCTATGCAGCAGTAGGACACACCAGCACGAGCACAAGCAGCAAACGGTAATTGTGAGCATCCGCCTCACCGTTCGAGCAGCAGCAGAAAATACTAAGCAGAAGTAGGACACACCAGCACGAGCACAAGCAGCAAACAGTAGTAGTGAGCATCCGCCTCACCATCGAGCAGCAACAGGAAATGCGCAGCAGCAGTAGGAAACACCAGCATGAGCCAAGCAACAAACTGTAGTTGTGAGCATCCGCTTCACCATCGAGCAGCAACATGAAATGCTCAGCAGTAGTAGGAAACATCAGCACGAGCACAAGCAGCAAACGGCAGTTGTGAGCACCCGCCTCACTATCGAGCAGCAACAAAAAATGCTCAGCAGAAGTAGGAATCACCAACACGAGCACAAGCAGCAAACTGTAGTAGTGAGCTTCCGCCTCACCATCGAGCAGCAACAGGAAATGCTCAGGAGCCACCATCACGCGCACAAGCAGCAAGCGGCGGTTGTGAGCATCCGCCTCACCATCGAGTAGCAACAGAAAATGCTCATCAGTAGTAGGACACACCAGCACGAGCACAAGCAGCAAACTGTGGTAGTGAGCATCCGCCTCACCATCGAGCAGCAAGAGAAAACGCTCAGCAGCAGTATGATACACCAGCCACGAGCACAAGCAGCAAATGGTAGTTGTGAGCATCTGCCTCACCATCGAGCCTAGTAACGGGAAAATGCTCAGCAGAAAGTAGGACACACCAGCACGAGCACAAGCAGCAAACGGTACTAGCGAGCATCCGCCTCATCATTGAGCAGCAACAAGAAAATGATCGGCAGCAGTAGGACACACCAGCACGAGCACAAGCAGCAAACGGTAGTTGTGAGCATCCGCCTCACCATCGAGCAGCAACAGGAAATGCGCAGCAGCAGTAGAAAACACCAGCACAAGCACAAGCAGCAAACTGTAGTAGTGAGCATCAACACCACCATCGGGCAGCAACAGGAAACGCTCAGCAGCAGTAGGAAACATCATCATGAGCACAAGCAGCAAACGGTTAGTTGTGAGCATCCGCATCACCATCGAGCAGCAACAGGAAATGCTCAGCTGCAGTAGGAAACACCATCACGAGCACAAGCAGCAAACGGTAGTTGTGAGCATTCGCCTCACCATCGAGCAGCAACAGAAAATGCCTCAGCAGCAGTAGGACACACCCGCACAAGCACAAGCAGCAAACGGTAGTTGTGAGCATCCACATCACATCGAGCAGCAACAGGAAATGCTCAGCAGCAGTAGGAAACACCATCACGAGCACAAGAAGCAAACGGTAGTTGTGAGCATCCGCATCACCATCGTAGCAGCAACAGGAAATGCTCAGCAGCAGTAGGAAACACCATCACGAGCCACTAGCAGCAAACGGTAGTTGTGAGCATCCGCAGCACCATCGAGCAGCAACAGAAAATGATGAGCAGCAGTAGGAAACACCAGCACAAGCACAAGCAGCAAGCGACAGTTGTGAGCATCCGCGTCACCATCGAGCAGCAACAGAAAATGCTCAGCAGTGGTAGGAAAAAAACCAACATGAGTATAGGCGGGGGAGGAGGAGGAGGAGGAGGAGGAGGAGGAGGAGGAGGAGGAGGAGGAGGAGGAGGAGGAGGAGGAGGAGGAGGAGGAGGATGAGGAGGAGGAGGAGGAGGAGGAGGTTGAGTGCAATGCTGGTCCGTTGTGTGCGGTCATTGGTGGTGCTGAGTGCCCCGTGAGCGGTGGACACGCGGTGATGAGCGCTGATTAGGTTGGGAGCGGTGTCGAGTGGCTGTGAGTGGCTCTCGGATATTCAGAGTGGCAGTGAGCAGCGCTGAGCTGTGACGAGTGGTGATGAGCGGCTCAGAGAGGTGCGGAGTGGTGATGAGCGGCTTTGAGCGGTGCCGGAGTGGTGATGAGCGGCTGTGAGTGGTGCAGAGTGCTGCAGAGCGGTTCAGAGCAGCAGTGAGCGGGTGCTGGGCCCGTTGTGTGCGGTCATTGCTGGTGCTGAGCGCCCCGTGGGTGGTGAGGAGTAGTGATGAGCCACTCTGAGAGGTGCCAAGTGGTGATGAGCTGCTCTGAGCGGTGCCGAGTGCTGCAGAGCAGTTCAGAGCAGCAGTGAGTGGTGATGGGTCGTGTGTGCGATGATTGGTGGTGCTGAGCGCCCGTGAGCGGTGACGAGAAGTGATGAGCCACTCAGAGAGTGTGCCGAGTGGTTATGAGCGGCTCTGAGCGGTGCCGAGTACTGCCAACAAGGTTCAGAGCGGCAATGAGAAGTATTGGGCCTTTGTGTGCGGTCATGGTGGTGCTGAGCGCCCGTGAGTGGTGACGAGCGGTGACGAGGGGTGATGAGCGACTAAGAGAGGTGTCCAGTGGTGATGAGCGGCTCTGAGGCGTGCCGAGTGCTGTAGAGTGGTACAGAGCGGCAGTGAGCGGTGCTGGGCCATTGTGTGCGGTCATTGGTGGTGCTGAGCGCCCGTGAGTGGTGACGAGCGGTGACGAACAGTGACGAGCTTCTCAGAGAGGTGCCGAGTGGTTGATGAGCGGCTCCGAGCGGTGCGGAGTTCTGCAGCGCGGTTCAGAACGGCAGTGAGAGGTGTTGGGCCTTTGTGTGCGGTCATTGGTGGTGCTGAGCGCCCGTGAGTGGTGATGAGCGGTGACTAGTGGTGATGAGCAACAGAGAGAGGTGTCGAGTGGTGATGAGCGGATCTGAGCGGTTGCCAAGTGCTGCAGAGTGGTTCAGAGCGGCAAGTGAGCGGTGGGTGCTGGGCTGAGCTGTTGTGTGTGGTCATTGGTGGTGCTGAGTGCCGGTGAGTGGTGACGAGCTGTGACGAGTGGTGATGAGCGGCTCAGAGAGGTGCGGAGTGGTGTGAGCGGCTTTGAGCGGTGCCGAGTGGTGATGAGCGGCTGTGAGTGGGTGCAGAGTGCTGCAGAGCGGTTCAGAGCAGCAGTGAGCGGTGCTGGGCCGTTGTGTGCGGTCATTGCTGGTGCTGAGCGCCCGTGGGTGGTGAGGAGTAGTGATGAGCCACTCTGAGAGGTGCCAAGTGGTGATGAGCTGCTCTGAGCGGTGCCGAGTGCTGCAGAGCAGTTCAGAGCAGCAGTGAGTGGTGATGGGTCGTTGTGTGCGATGATTGGTGGTGGCTGAGCGCCCGTGAGCGGTGACGAGAAGTGATGAGCCACTCAGAGAGGTGCCGAGTGGTTATGAGCGGCTCTGAGCGGTGCCGAGTACTGCAACAAGGTTCAGAGCGGCAATGAGAAGTATTGGGCCTTTGTGTGCGGTCATGGTGGTGTCTGAGCGCCCGTGAGTGGTGACGAGCGGTGACGAGGGGTGATGAGCGACTAAGAGAGGTGTCCAGTGGTGATGAGCGGCTCTGAGGCGTGCGAGTGCTGTAGAGTGGTACAGAGCGGCAGTGAGCGGTGCTGGGCCATTGTGTGCGGTCATTGGTGGTGCTGAGCGCCGTGAGTGGTGACGAGCGGTGACGAACAGTGACGAGCTTCTCAGAGAGGTGCCGAGTGGTGATGAGCGGCTCCGAGCGGTGCGGAGTTCTGCAGCGCGGTTCAGAACGGCAGTGAGAGGTGTTGGGCCTTTGTGTGTGCGGTCATTGGTGGTGCTGAGCGCCCGTGAGTGGTGATGAGCGGTGACTAGTGGTGATGAGCAACCAGAGAGAGGTGTCGAGTGGTGATGAGCGGATCTGAGCGGTGCCAAGTGCTGCAGAGTGGTTCAGAGCGGCAGTGAGCGGTGGGTGCTGGGCTGTTCTGTTGTGTGTGGTCATTGGTGGTGCTGAGTGCCCGGTGAGTGGTGACGAGTGGTGATGAACGGTGTAGTCTGACTAAGGTGTGACGTTGATGTCTGTCTCCCGCCTCTCGACTATTGCAGACAAGGATGCCTTGAGCATCACGGAAATGGTTGTGAGGACTATACAACACTGGTGGTCGTGCTTGTCTGGGTGCTTCTGAACCATTCGTGCCATCCCAGCGATCAAGATAGGTTCAGCGTGTTTTCATTTCTTCTCATAACATCCTCTTGTATCAGTTTCTTGTACGGTACAGCGTGCGAAAGCACTGGAGACAAAACATTGTGAATTTCAGCCCCGGTGCCAAATAAACCCTTCGGGCTGCTGTTGCTGCTTTTCCTTGCTGTGCTGGTGTTTCTTCTACTGTTGCTTCTGCAGCACTTGTGGCGCTGGGTGTGTTGACCAGCAGGGACGATTGCAGCAGCCAGGCTGCGTGAAAGTCCTAGCCAGGTTCCTCCCAGAATGCCCACGCGACCTGCGGCGGACACAAAGGGGCGAGGGAGGGGGGGAAGGAACGAGGCGGAGGACTGGATGATTGGGGAGAAGGCGCGGGGGCTGCAAAGCAGCGAGCAGCAGCAGCACAAGCAACACCATCGGCAAGCAACAGCAGGGAAGCAGTAGCAAGCAGTGACATCAGAGCTGCAGCAGCAGTTGACGGCAGCAGCAGTAGAAAGCAAGCAGTGATGGCAGCAGCAGTAGCAAGCAAGCAGTGATGGCAGCAGCAGTAGAAAGCAAGCAGTGATGGCAGCAGCAGTACAAGCAAGCAGTGACGGCAGCAGCAGTAGCAAACGAGCAGTGATGCAGCAGCAGTAGCAAGCAAGCAGTGATGGCAGCAGCAGTAGCAAGCAAGCAGTGAAGGCAGCAGCAGTAGCAAGCAAGCAGTGACGGCAGCAGCAGTAGAAAGCAAGCAGTGATGGCAGCAGCAGTAGAAAGCAAGCAGTGATTGGCAGCAGCAGTAGAAAGCAAGCAGTGACGGCAGCAGCAGTAGAAAGCAAGCAGTGATGGCAGCAGCAGTAGCAAGCAAGCAGTGACGGCAGCAGCAGTAGCAAGCAAGCAGTGATGGCAGCAGCAGTAGCAAGCAAGCAGTGACGGCAGCAGCAGTAGCAAGCAAGCAGTGATGGCAGCAGCAGTAGCAAGCAAGCAGTGATGGCAGCAGCAGTAGCAAGCAAGCAGTGAAGGCAGCAGCAGTAGAAAGCAAGCAGTGACGGCAGCAGCAGTAGAAAGCAAGCAGTGACGGCAGCAGCAGTAGAAAGCAAGCAGTGATGGCAGCAGCAGTAGCAAGCAAGCAGTGACGGCAGCAGCAGTAGCAAGCAAGCAGTGATGGCAGCAGCAGTAGCAAGCAAGCAGTGATGGCAGCAGCAGTAGCAAGCAAGCAGTGAAGGCGGCAGCAGTAGCAAGCAAGCAGTGACGGCAGCAGCAGTAGAAAGCAAGCAGTGATGGCAGCAGCAGTAGAAAGCAAGCAGTGATGGCAGCAGCAGTAGCAAGCAAGCAGTGATGGCAGCAGCAGTAGCAAGCAAGCAGTGATGGCAGCAGCAGTAGCAAGCAAGCAGTGATGGCAGCAGCAGTAGCAAGCAAGCAGTGATGGCAGCAGCAGTAGCAAGCAAGCAGTGATGACAGCAGCAGTAGCAAGCAAGCAGTGATGGCAGCAGCAGTAGCAAGCAAGCAGTTATGGCAGCAGCAGTAGCAAGCAAGCAGTGATGGCAGCAGCAGTAGCAAGCAAGCAGTGATGGCAGCAGCAGTAGCAAGCAAGCAGTGAAGGCAGCAGCAGTAGCAAGCAAGCAGTGACGGCAGCAGCAGTAGCAAACAAGCAGTGAAGGCAGCAGCAGTAGCAAGCAAGCAGTGACGGCAGCAGCAGTAGAAAGCAAGCAGTGATGGCAGCAGCAGTAGAAAGCAAGCAGTGATGGCAGCAGCAGTAGCAAGCAAGCAGTGATGGCAGCAGCAGTAGCAAGCAAGCAGTGATGGCAGCAGCAGTAGCAAGCAAGCAGTGATGGCAGCAGCAGTAGCAAGCAAGCAGTGATGGCAGCAGCAGTAGCAAGCAAGCAGTGATGGCAGCAGCAGTAGCAAACAAGCAGTGATGGCAGCAGCAGTAGAAAGCAAGCAGTGATGGCAGCAGCAGTAGCAAGCAAGCAGTGATGGCAGCAGCAGTAGCAAGCAAGCAGTGATGGCAGCAGCAGTAGCAAGCAAGCAGTGATGGCAGCAGCAGTAGCAAGCAAGCAGTGACGGCAGCAGCAGTAGCAAACGAGCAGTGATGGCAGCAGCAGTAGCAAGCAAGCAGTGATGGCAGCAGCAGTAGCAAGCAAGCAGTGAAGGCAGCAGCAGTAGCAAGCAAGCAGTGACGGCAGCAGCAGTAGAAAGCAAGCAGTGACGGCAGCAGCAGTAGCAAGCAAGCAGTGACGGCAGCAACAGTAGCAAGCAAGCAGTGATGGCAGCAGCAGTAGCAAGCAAGCAGTGACGGCAGCAGCAGTAGCAAGCAAGCAGAGATGGCAGCAGCAGTAGCAAGCAAGCAGTGATGGCAGCAGCAGTAGCAAGCAAGCAGTGAAGGCAGCAGCAGTAGAAAGCAAGCAGTGACGGCAGCAGCAGTAGAAAGCAAGCAGTGACGGCAGCAGCAGTAGCAAGCAAGCAGTGATGGCAGCAGCAGTAGCAAGCAAGCTGTGATGGCAGCAGCAGTAGCAAGCAAGCAGTGATGGCAGGAGCAGTAGCCACAAGCAGTGATGGCAGCAGCAGTACAAGCTACAGTGATGCAGCAGCAGTTCCAACAAGAACTGTGATTCGCAGCAGCAGTACAAGCAACAGTGATGGCAGCAGTGTTTCAAGCAAGCTGTGATGGCAGAGCAGTAGCAAGAAGCTCTATGGCTGCAGCAGTAGCAAGCAAGCAGTGAAGGCAGCAGCAGTAGCATGCAGGCAGGTGATGTGCAGAGTGTTTCAGACTCCTGTGAAGGCAGGCATGTTGGAAGGAAGCAGTGACGGCAGCAGCAGTGAAAGGAAGGGGTGATGGGGGAGGTGTTAGTGAGCAGTGATGGCAGCAGGTGCAGAGCAGCAGAGATGTTAGAGCGTGCAGAGATTCTCTATGGCAGCAGCAGTGAGCTGCAAGAGTGAGGCAGTAGAGTAGCTTGCACGCAGAGACGCAGAGATGTATTTTACAAGTTGATGCACCTACAAGTGGAGGTGAGCAGGGTGTGCTGCACCAGTAGCAAGCTAGGTGATGGCTCCTGCGTAGCAAGCAAGCAGTGATGTGCAGCTGCATGTGCAAGCATCAGTGATGTCGCAGCGTGTGTGTGTGTGCGTGACTGCAGCAGCAGTAGCAGCGCAAGCAGTGTGTCAGCAGCGCAGCAGGCATCGTGTATATCAGCAGCACTAGCAAGCAAGAAGTGGGCTCGCAGCAGCACTAGCGGCACTAGCTGCACGGCAGCAGGAGAGCAACCCCCCGTAAAGCAGCAGCGCAGCAAGCATCGTGATGGCGCAGCACAAGCTTACCAAGCGGACTGGCAGCAGCACTAGCAAGCGGCAGAGGCGCAGTAGGTGCTGTAAACATAGAGAGATTGACAGCGCAGAAGCAACATGAGTGAATGGACAGCGCACTAAAAACATGCGTGCCTGGACAGCAGAGCTCTCCCTCAACGTGACGGCAGAGAGTTGGAGTGCACATCAGGGGCAAGAGTGGAATCCCCCAGTGGTCCGCGCAGTATGACTGCAAGGCAGAGGCGCACGAGTATGACTGCACAGGCAGGGGGCAGCAGCAGAGCAAGGGAGGAGGGAGGGCGCAGCAGTAAAGAAGGAGGGAGGGCGCAGGGTATGGGAGAAGTGAGGAGGAGGAGGGTATGGGAGTATGTGAGGAGGGCAGCAGCAGGCGCTGTTGAGCAGGAGGGCGCAGCAGTGGCTGAAGAGTGGGCGCTGAGTGGATGAAGGGGTGGGCAGGACGGTGGGATGTGAGCTGTGATGGCGGACGGTGGCAGAGACACAGGTCTATTGGCGTTTGAGATGTGGCAGGGAGGGGTGCGGCCGCCGTTGTAGCATGCTGAGGGCGCTGTGAGGGTGGTGTGAGCATCCATGAGCCCGTTTGTCACACGTGTGTGTCCCTCTACCTACTGGTGGGAGCAGATCTTCTCACTCCCCTGGGCCCTGGGTGCAGGTGATTGATGTGCCAGAGAAAACAGGAGGAAGTCCTTCAGTTTAGGGCGCCTTGTAAGTCATGGCAGCTTCAGTGCTCCTCCCAGGGAGGCAGGTGCAATGTGCAAGAACAGGGAGGAAGAATCCAAGAGCGAGTTCATACAGGTACGGGCTACAGGGGTGCGGGAGTGCAGGTGCAGGGGTGCAGGGGTACAAAACAACGATACCGGGTGTTGTTTTGAGAAAAACACTTCTTCAAACACGGAGTGCGAGGGTTGCAGGGGTGCAGGGGTACGGGGGTAGAACAACGATACCGGGTGTTTCTGTGCCGAATGCCTGGAAATCACAACGAATATGGCACAGAGCGGAAAGGGTTTCTGCTCAATGGCTAGATACGTTTGAGGCGCATTCCAAGTCGGAGTGTGTTTGTTAGCATGGCTAGCGACCTTCATCCCCAATTTACCTCAACAGAGGTGAGGGTCGATGAAGAGTATGTCTACCACCTCTTATTCCAACTTTTGAGGCGCGTCAGGAGTTGTCTCCGTTCATGCTTACTGCCTGCCATTCCCCTCTCGCATACCTCCCCTTTCTTTGCCCACCCATCCCACCAGGTTGACACACAAGACATACTCTTCATCAACCCTCACCTCTGTTGCTTGCCGTGCCAGCCATTCCCCCTCCCAATAACCCTTGACCCACAGACTGCTTCCCCAGCTGGAACACACCAGCTCTATCACAGCCACATGCCTGCATCTGCCCTCCAATGCCGCTGCCTTATTCCACCCCCCAGCCCCAAGCACAGCGATGCCCCATCTGTGGAATGCATTCGTGATCTGGGAAAGCATTGGCAAAGAGCAGTGAGGCGGAGGCTGCTTTTGCTGACTCAAAATGCACTCACTGATACGTCTGCTATCGTCAGGTTTTTGAGATTTCTCAAAACAGCTGACTCAAAATGCACTCACTGATACGTCTGCTATTGTCAGGTTTTTGAGAATTCCTTCAAAATTTGCTGACTCGAAATGCACTCACTGATACGTCTGCTGTCGTCAGTTATGACCTAAAAAAAAAAAATCGAAGAAAAGACAATCGCACTGAAGGTGCGCAACCATGGTTTTGGGGCAGGGAAAATGAAGCCACCGTTTCTCGCCTTTCAGTGCGATTGTCTTCGCCGCAGCAGTGTGTGCTACAACTGTGTATGCAGGCAATGTCAGGAATGCAGTCCCATCTAACTACTTTGCCTACTCTGATGACCCACCCACATGTTAGAAACGACTTTCAATAATTGTCTGCAGTTTGACTCTAACATTGACTGCGGTTTGAATCGGTCTGATTGTCTGCAGTCAATGTTAGGAATGTATCTCCTGCCTTTCGTTGGCCGTGCTATGCTAGCCCTCAGAGCTCCTAATGCGCGCAACTCTGCAAGCACTGCAAGAACATACAATGTTGTCTTGACTGCATGTCTTGACTCTCTCTATTACCATTCATTTGTTGCAGGAAGCGCAAGTCATCAATCGGCTTCGGGGCCCCCGTGTGACATTGCTGCAATCATTGCAAGCAGACATGAGACTGACTGCATTCCATGACTCAAATCCCAATATTACCTTGCTGCGTGCAGGAAGCACAAGTCATCCATCGGCTTCGGGGCCCCCGTGCGCGCATCGCTGCGCAACCGATCGGTGCTTGACGCCCGCACTGCCGGCTCGCTGCTGCAATCGGTGAGTGCTAACTCTATACCGTTGGTTTGTTTGTTTGTTTTTTTGGTTGATTTGTTTGTTGGTTTGATTGTTTGGTTGGGTTTTGTTTTGTTTTGTTTTGTTTTGTCATTGTTTTAGCGCGTGTGCCAGCGATCCATGCTTGCAACACTTGCTGTGTGTGCTTGTGGGCGTGCTGCTTTTGAGAGCTGCTTTTCACTGTCCTATAGCCACCTGCTGCAGTTGATGCGTGCTCTTCCTTCAACCATCCTTTCCCCGCCACCCCGCAAACCCCCTTCCCCCCTTTTTTTGTATCAACGGCTCGCAGAGAGCACTTTTGAGGCCGCCTCAAAAGTTGTCTCTGCTACCCGCAATTCCCGTATCTCCCCCCCCCCCCCCCCCCCCCCCGTCTTTTTTTGCTCATCAACTGCACTCAGAGAGCACAGAATCGGGTAGCCTACAGGCTCGTCCCGAGTTTGTGGGGCGATTCCTGGTTATTGTTATACCCCTCCAGATCTCCCTCCCCATCGTTCAACATCCCTCCCCACCCGTCCCACCCCCTCCCTACCCCTCTGGAACGGCAGGCAGAGAGCACGGATCTGATAGCCTATGGGCTCATCCTGAGTTTGTGGGGCGATCCCCGTGCTGGTGGGGCTGCATGCGCTCACAGAGGAGCACTCGTGCAAGGTATGACTGGTGCAGGTAATGACTGGTGCAGGTAATGACTGGTGCAGGTAATGACTGGTGCAGGTAATGACTGATGCAGGTAGTGACTTGTGCAGGTAATGACTGTGCAGGTAGTGACTGGTGCAGGTAGTGACTGGTGCAGGTAGGACTGGTGCAGGTCCTGGTAATGACTGGTGCAGGTAAGTAATGACTGGTGCAGGTAGTGACTGGTGCAGGTAATGACTGGTGCAGGTAATGACTGGTGCAGGTAATGACTGGTGCAGGTAATGACTGATGCAGGTAGTGACTTGTGCAGGTAATGACTGGTGCAGGTAGTGACTGGTGCAGGTAATGACTGGTGCAGGTAATGACTGGTGCAGGTAATGACTGGTGCAGGTAGTGACTGGTGCAGGTAATGACTGGTGCAGGTAATGACTGGTGCAGGTAATGACTGGTGCAGGTAATGACTGGTGCAGGTAATGACTGGTGCAGGTAATGACTGGTGCAGGTAATGACTGGTGCAGGTAATGGACTGGTGCAGGTAATGACTGGTGCAGGTAATGACTGGTGCAGGTAGTGACTGGTGCTGGTAATGACTGGTGCAGGTAGTGACTGGTGCAGGTAATGACTGGTGCAGGTAATGACTGGTGCTGGTAATGACTGGTGCAGGTAATGACTGGTGCGGGTAATGACTGGTGCGGGTAATGACTGGTGCGGGTAATGACTGGTGTGTGTAGGCTTTGGTAACAACAGCTGGTGCTCATGGGGCTGCGTGCTTTCACAAAAGAGCAACATGTGCAGGTAGGTGTAGTGCAGGTGGCAACTGGTGCAGGTGGCAACTGATGCAGGTGGAAGCAAAGGACCTTTCTTATGCACTTCGAATTATGTCTATATACAGAGCTGAGTGGCTTTCCTTGCATGATTCGACACGTATTTTGGTCCATCTTCTTTTCCTAATCCCTGCCCAGAAAATTTACGTTCTTAAAACCGGAGGGCCAAGAAGGCCCAAATTGCCTCAACCTTCCTAACCTTGGTTGAGTTTGGCCCTCGCACCCAAAATCTTGGCCAATTGTGTTGCTCGCTCCAACCAAGCTTCCTAAGGTTGAAGTTCTTGGCCCGCGGGTTGTAACCCCTGAAACACTACCCGATTCTTATCCCTCTCCCCACCCTCCTGCTCCTTCTCCGTACTCGTTCTCTCCTCTCGGTGTGGCTCTCACTTGCAGGTTCTCTTAAAGCCAAGAACGCCCTCAGCAAGCAATTCGCCAAGCTATTGGCCATGAACAACGTGAGTGCAGTGTGGGCTGCTGGTTGTGGGTCACGAGCATTGTGTTTTCTATTGTATAAATAAGAAATCCAGACAGTTCTCGGTTAGCAAGCAAGTGCAATTTGCAAAGCTACAGGATGCAGAATAGCACTCAGTGTTGCCTTCTTCCTTGTCCTCATGCTCTCCCAATCCTCCCCTCCCCTCTTACTGAGGCCCGTCTGCACATGACAGAGGAGGCAGTGAGGGCCATTGCGTGGAGTACAGCACCCATTCTTGCCCTTTTCCATGACCTCGTGCCATCTCCATCTCATCTCTTCCTGCCCTCCCTTCCACTCCACCCACTCAGGCCCGCTTGCACATGACGGAGGGGGCAGTGAGGGCCATAGCGCGCAGAGCAGCAGCGCGAAACACGGGGGCCAGGGGGCTGCGATCGCTGCTGGAGGGGCTGCTCACCGAGGCTATGTACGAGGTATGGCGACTGCCGAGGCTATGTACGAGGTATGGCGACTGCCGAGGCTATGACGAGGTATGGTGGCTGCCAAGGCTGTGTATGAGGTATGATGATTACCGAGGCTATGTATGAGGTATGGCGGTTACTGAGCCTCTGTATGAGGTACAATGTAATAGATACAATACTCACCAGGCCTATGTACGGGGTACGGTGTAACAGGCTAACAAAAGGTACGGCGGTTACTAAGGCTGTGTATGAGGTACGTACAGCAGTTACCGAGGCACTGCTTGAGGTATGTACGGCAGTTACCAAGGCTGTGTATGAGGTACTGTGATCGCCAGTGGACCTTGGTATTGTTGTGAAGGCAATGTTGTTGGATGAGGTATCAGTGGGGGCTCGGAGGGGAGGTGGGGTTAACCTGCTCGCTGCTTTCCTCCATCCATCCCTCCATTCCGTCCTTCCCACCCCAACTCCCCAGGTCCCCAGCAATCTGGTGGAAGCAGTGGTGCTGGACGAGGCATCGATGGGGCACGAGGGGGAGGAAGGGGAAGAGGGCAAGCCGGTGTGCAACTGTGTCCTTGATCATTGCCCTCATTCCACGCCCATCCGTCATCTCATGCCCCAACCCACCAGGTCCCCAGCAGTCTAGTGAAGGCAGTTGTGTTGGACAAGGCATCGGTGGGGCACGAGGGGGAGGAGGGGGGCGACGGGGTAACCTGCACTCTGCCATCATCCATCCATCCCTGCCATCCCCACCAGGTCCCCAGCTCTCTGGTGGAAGCAGTGGTGCTGGACGAGGCATCGGTGGGGCACGAGGGGGGAGGAGGGCGAGGACGGGGGTACCGGGGTGTGGGGCCCACATACTGCAAGGGGAGGGCTCGTGGGAGCGGTGGTTGCAGGATAACGAGGGGGGAGGAGAGAAGGCGGGAGGGAAGGGAGAGGAGGGCCAAGGGGGAGGAAGCAAGGGAGGCTCATCTGGGGGAGGTGGAAGTGATGAGGAATCGGATGCAGCTCCTGCTCTTGCCACAGCCACTGCAGCTTGATCTGCCTTGTCGTCTCCTGTCGAGCACCTGTCTACCACGCTTGGACTCTTCTCAGCTCCTGCACTTGCCACAGCCACTGCAGCTTGATCTGCCTTGTCGTCTCCTGTCGAGCACCTGTCTACCACGCTTGGACTCTGCTCAGCTCCTGCACTTGCCACAGCCACTGCAGCTTGATCTGCCTTGTCGTCTCCTGTCGAGCACCTGTCTACCACGCTTGGACTCTGCTCAGCTCCTGCACTTGCCACAGCCACTGCAGCTTGATCCGCCATGCCACTGCATCTCCCATCCAGCATCTGTCTACTACCCCTTCTATTGTGGTGGACTGGGGGATGTCACCGTGCTAGAGCGTGCTGCTAGGTATCGGTGTATCCTTGCCGCTCGGAAGGTGGGATTGCAGGATGTTTTCATCATCTGTGTGTATATGCCTCCTCTTCTCTCTCGCTCGGAGTTCAAACAGTTTGTCTGCCTCCGATTGCATGTTTTCCTGCAAGTACTGTACTGCATGTATGATATACGTAGAGCAAACAAGGGGTACTATAACGCAGAGCGTGGACAATAAAGAGAGTGACAATAGCGAGAGGGGAGATGAAACCCCCCCATGCCCCCCCAAGGCCCCCCTAAGGCCCCCCTAAGGCCCCCCTAAGGCCCCCCTAAGGCCCCCCTAAGGCCCCCCTAAGGCCCCCCTAAGGCCCCCCTAAGGCCCCCCTAAGGCCCCCCTAAGGCCCCCCTAAGGCCCCCCTAAGGCCCCCCTAAGGCCCCCCTAAGGCCCCCCTAAGGCCCCCCCTAAGGCCCCCCTAAGGCCCCCCTAAGGCCCCCCTAAGGCCCCCCTAAGGCCCCCCTAAGGCCCCCCTAAGGCCCCCCTAAGGCCCCCCTAAGGCCCCCCTAAGGCCCCCCTAAGGCCCCCCTAAGGCCCCCCTAAGGCCCCCCTAAGGCCCCCCTAAGGCCCCCCTAAGGCCCCCCCTAAGGCCCCTAGCCCCTAAGGCCCCCCTACCCCCAAATCCCCTCCAAATCCCCTCACAGCCCCCCACAGCCCCCCCCAACCCCCAATCCCTGGCATGGCATCTATCCCAGGCATGGCATGGCATGGTCCTGGTTCTGGTCCTGGTCCTGGTCTTGTTCCTGGTTCTGGTTCTGGTCTTGGTCCTGGTCTTGTTCCTGTTCCTGGTCCTGGTCCTGGTCCTGTTCCTGTTCAGGTTCCTGGTCCTGGTCTTGTTCCTGTTCCTGTTCAGGTTCCTGTTCCTGTTCATGTTCCTGTTCCTGTTCATGTTGTCAGAAGGTGGCTGGAACAGTAACAAGACGGCACGAACAGCAGCTGGGCGGCAGCAACAGTAACCAGGTGGCCATAGCAGTAACTGGGCGGCTGGAACATTAACCGGGCAGCTGGAGCGATTACCAGGCTGGTGAAGTGGTAACCAGGCGGCTGGAGCGATAACCGGGCGGCTGGAACGGTAAGCAGGCGACAGGAACAGTAACCGGGCGGCATAAACAGCAGCCGGGCGGCATGAACAGTAACCGGGCTTGCAGGCGCCAAGGCTAGGCCAAACCCACCCCGTGCCTAGCCTTGCCCAAACCCACCCCGCAGCTCTTATATATCGACACACGCACACACAAGTACCGTACAAAACAAGAGCAAGGTGCATGTCCTTGTAAATATCCTACTTGTAGATGTGCCTCTATCTTGGCGGGGTGAGAAGGTCTCTTCACGGCGCCCTGCAGCGAGAGAAGGCCACCTGCGCAAGGCGGGGTGGGGAGGGGTGGCAGGATGGCAGGTGTGACAGCATGGCTCTCCGAGCCTCATCCAGACCAGAGCGGAGAGTGAACAGTGCAGGATGGGAACCAGTGGGGTGAACAGTGCGGGATGGGGAAACAGTGGGGTGAGCAGTGCGGGATGGGGAAGCAATAGGATGAACAGTGGGGGATGGGAAAACAGGGGGGTGAGGAGGAGTGCAGAGCAAGGGAACAACGAGTGCAGAGCAAGGGAACGACGAGTGCAGAGCAAGGGAACGACGAGTGCAGAGCAAGGGAACGACGAGTGCAGAGCAAGAGCATAGGAGAAGGGGGCCAGGAGAGTGAGAGCATAGGAGAAAGGGGCCAGGAGAGTGAGAGCATAGGAGAAGGGGGCCAGGAGAGTGAGAGCATAGGAGAAGGGGGCCAGGAGAGTGAGAGCATAGGAGAAGGGGGCCAGGAGAGTGAGAGCATAGGAGAAGGGGGCCAGGAGAGTGAGAGCATAGGAGAAGGGGGCCAGGAGAGTGAGAGCATAGGAGAAGGGGCCAGGAGAGTGAGAGCATAGGAGAAGGGGGCCAGGAGAGTGGGGACCGTTGTCTCACCTCGTGCCTCACTGGCTTCGCCTTAGCCTCGCCGCACCGTTGCCCAGCTGCGCCCGTCACTGTCGGCAGAAACGAGCAAGGGCAGAAACGAGCAAGGGCGGAAACGAGCACGAGGACATGGCATGGCATGGTAATCGGGCGGCATGAACAGTAACGGGGCGGCAGGAGCAGTGACGGGCGGCAGGAGCAGTGACCGGGCGGCAGGAGCAGTGACCGGGCGGCACGAGCAGTGACGGGCGGCACGAGCAGAGACGGGCGGCACGAGCAGAGACGGGCGGCACGAGCAGTGACGGGCGGCACGAGCAGTGACGGGCGGCACGAACAGTGACGGGCGGCACGACCAGTGACGGGCGGCACGACCAGTGACGGGCGGCACGACCAGTGACGGGCGGCACGACCAGTGACGGGCGGCACGACCAGTGACGGGCGGCACGACCAGTGACGGGCGGTACGACCAGTGACGGGCGGCACGACCAGTGACGGGCGGCATCAACAGTGACGGGCGGCATGAACAGTGACGGGCGGCATGAACAGTGACGGGCGGCATGAACTGTAACCGGGCAGCGGGAACAGTAACCAGGCTTGTAGGGGCCAAGGCTAGCCCAAACCTACCCCGTGCCTAGCCCAAACCCACCCCGCAACTCTTATATCGACACACGCACAAGTACCATACAAACAAGAGCAAGGTGCATGTCCTAATAAATATCCTACTTGTAAGTATGTCTCGTGTCTTGGCGGGGTGAGAAGGTCTCTTCACGGTGCCCCGCAGAAAGGAGAGAAGACCTTTCTGCACAAGGCGGGGTGGGGAGGGATGGCAGGTGTGACAGCATGGCGGATGGTTTAGAAACCATGGCAGAGGTTTAGGGTGCAGCACAGGTGAGTGGAGGGGAGCAGAGCACGTGAGTGAGTGAGGAGCAATAGGAGCGAGCGCGAGGGGCCTCACCTCACTGGCCTCAACAGGTCTGCCCAGAGCGCTCCAAGTCTGCCCCAACCCTTTATGAGGTGCCTCAAAAATCTGCCCAGGGCGCGCCGAGTCTGCCCCAACCTTTCCGAGGAGAGGAGGTGAACGGAGGGAAGGAGAGGTTTTAGCATAGGGGCTGGCGGAGGGCGGAACGAGGAGGAGGGCGGAACGAGGAGGAAGGGCGCAACGAGGAGGAAGGGCGCAACGAGGAGGAAGGGCGCAACAAGGAGGAAGGGCGCAACGAGGGGGAGGGCGGAACGAGGAGAAAGGGCGGAGGAACGAACAAGGGCAGAATGACGGAAGTGGAACGAGCAAGTGCGGAACGAGCAAGGGCGGAACGAGCAAGTGCGGAACGAGCAAGGGCGGAACGAGCAAGTGGGGAACGAGCAAGGGCGGAACGAGCAAGTGTGGAACGAGCAAGTGCGGAACGAGCAAGGGTGGAACGAGCAAGTGGGGAACGAGCAAGGGCGGAACGAGCAAGGGTGGAACGAGCAAGTGCGGAACGAGCAAGGGTGGAACGAACAAGGTGAGAAGAAACGCAGTCTGGCAGCAGAGAAAGAAACACCTCTGATTCCAACTATTCTGTGGGAGATCGATTTCATTCTAACACAGCGAGTAGGTGCTGATAGTTTGAAAGAGAGATCAGCGCTGCTGTTCGATAGAAGCGAGCAGGGCGTAATCGGTGGTGGCGAGGACTACTAGGACGAGGTCGATGACAATGAGAGAGGCAAGGAAGGAGCGGCCGTGGTGAGAGAAGAAACGCAGTCTATGCACTCGTCTCTGCAGTCGTCTCTCGACCTGTTTGAGGGACTTAGAAACGTAAAAACGTGCGTTGCTCGACAATTTCGCGACCGTTCGACGGTGAGGTCCGACCGAGCCACCTCGCGCGCACGTGCGTTCGCTCCGCGCAGCGACCCGTGTGACATGACATCGCATCATGCTGCAAACTAAACGGACATCAAACGCGATATTCGCTAATGAGAAAAAGCGCGGGACGGCTAAACGAAAGCGCTGCGCAGGGTGCAGCGCGAGGCGAGCAGGACGACGACTATCTAACGACCGCGAGGCGCACGAACAAACACGCGACTAGGACCTTAGCGAATGACACAGCAGCGGATTAGGTGGCTGTGACTGTAATTCTAGCTGCATAGTAGGTATGAGGGAAGAAGGTTCGAGTAGACCCGAAGACGGTTTGGGCTGAGGCAGCAGCGGGATGGATGGGACGGGTAGCTACCCAACCCCACCCACACAATGTTTTGTAACATTGTGGGCAGTAGAAACAAAAGTAGGAACATATCGAACCATAAAGGGTGTATTCTGACCACTCCTACTAGTGTAAAATCTCTTCGATTTTACTGTAGGTTGTGTGAAAGGTATCCAAACCCAAACCGAAATGGAAAAAAAAAAACAAAAGAGAAATACACCCACATCTCCAATGGGTTTCAAAGCCTGTTCCAGCGCGCTTGTCGTGGTGGAACAGGTCAAGAAAAAAAAAACACCCACCAATGAAAATTCAAAGCCTTGTCCAGCGCACGGATCGCGCGGTGAAACAGGTCAAGAATGATAGTATTACGGTGAGGTTGGTTCCAATATACAGCGCGGTTCCGACGAATCCAAATTTACATAGTGTATATATTTCTTTTGCTACTCAACTAGCATCAATAGATGTTTGTATTCGAATGTGAATTGTTAAATGGGCATACGAGAAGATAAACAAAGGACACACATAATGGCAGTAGAAGTTGCGTAAACGGGAATCGCAAGCAAATATGCGTGAGGACGTATAAATCACACGATGCATACTAAACAAAAACGCAATAAATGTGTAATTCATGTCAATATTATCAATACGATAATCGATACGACGACGAGGACGACGAGGAGGGCAAGGAGGAGGAGGAGGACGACGACGACGAGGAGGAGGAGCAGGGGCGGACGAGGAGGAGGGCGACGACGAGGACGACAAGGAGGATGAGGACGAGGACGAGGAGGACGTGGAGGACGAGGACGAGGACGATGACGAGGAGGAGGAGGAGGAGGAGGAGGAGGAGGAGGAGGAGGAGGAGGAGGAGGAGGAGGAGGAGGAGGAGGAGGAGGAGGAGCAGGAGGAGCAGGAGGAGCAAGAGGAGGAGGAGGAGGAGGAGGAGGAGGAGGAGGAGGAGGAGGAGGAGGAGGAGGAGGAGGAGGAGGAGGAGGAGGAGGAGGAGGAGGAGGAGGAGGAGGAAAAGGAGGAGGAGGAGGAACAGGAGGAGGAGGAGGAACAAGAGGAGGAGGAGGAGGAGGAGGAGGAGGAGGAGGAGGAGGAGGAGGAGGAGGAGGAGGAGGAGGAGGAGGAAACACAAGCACAAGCAGCAAACAGTAAGTAGGAAATGCTCAATAGAAGTAGGACACACCAGCACGAGCACAAGCAGCAAACTGTGGTAGTGAGCATCCTCCTCACCATCGAGCAGCAAGAGGAAATGCTATGCAGCAGTAGGACACACCAGCACGAGCACAAGCAGCAAACGGTAATTGTGAGCATCCGCCTCACCGTCGAGCAGCAGCAGAAAATACTAAGCAGAAGTAGGACACACCAGCACGAGCACAAGCAGCAAACAGTAGTAGTGAGCATCCGCCTCACCATCGAGCAGCAACAGGAAATGCGCAGCAGCAGTAGGAAACACCAGCATGAGCCAAGCAACAAACTGTAGTTGTGAGCATCCGCTTCACCATCGAGCAGCAACATGAAATGCTCAGCAGTAGTAGGAAACATCAGCACGAGCACAAGCAGCAAACGGCAGTTGTGAGCACCCGCCTCACTATCGAGCAGCAACAAAAAATGCTCAGCAGAAGTAGGAATCACCAACACGAGCACAAGCAGCAAACTGTAGTAGTGAGCTTCCGCCTCACCATCGAGCAGCAACAGGAAATGCTCAGGAGCACCATCACGCGCACAAGCAGCAAGCGGCGGTTGTGAGCATCCGCCTCACCATCGAGTAGCAACAGAAAATGCTCATCAGTAGTAGGACACACCAGCACGAGCACAAGCAGCAAACTGTGGTAGTGAGCATCCGCCTCACCATCGAGCAGCAAGAGAAAACGCTCAGCAGCAGTATGATACACCAGCACGAGCACAAGCAGCAAATGGTAGTTGTGAGCATCTGCCTCACCATCGAGCAGTAACGGAAAATGCTCAGCAGAAGTAGGACACACCAGCACGAGCACAAGCAGCAAACGGTACTAGCGAGCATCCGCCTCATCATTGAGCAGCAACAAGAAATGATCGGCAGCAGTAGGACACACCAGCACGAGCACAAGCAGCAAACGGTAGTTGTGAGCATCCGCCTCACCATCGAGCAGCAACAGGAAATGCGCAGCAGCAGTAGAAAACACCAGCACAAGCACAAGCAGCAAACTGTAGTAGTGAGCATCAACACCACCATCGGGCAGCAACAGGAAACGCTCAGCAGCAGTAGGAAACATCATCATGAGCACAAGCAGCAAACGGTAGTTGTGAGCATCCGCATCACCATCGAGCAGCAACAGGAAATGCTCAGCTGCAGTAGGAAACACCATCACGAGCACAAGCAGCAAACGGTAGTTGTGAGCATTCGCCTCACCATCGAGCAGCAACAGAAAATGCTCAGCAGCAGTAGGACACACCCGCACAAGCACAAGCAGCAAACGGTAGTTGTGAGCATCCACATCACCATCGAGCAGCAACAGGAAATGCTCAGCAGCAGTAGGAAACACCATCACGAGCACAAGAAGCAAACGGTAGTTGTGAGCATCCGCATCACCATCGAGCAGCAACAGGAAATGCTCAGCAGCAGTAGGAAACACCATCACGAGCACTAGCAGCAAACGGTAGTTGTGAGCATCCGCAGCACCATCGAGCAGCAACAGAAAATGATGAGCAGCAGTAGGAAACACCAGCACAAGCACAAGCAGCAAGCGACAGTTGTGAGCATCCGCGTCACCATCGAGCAGCAACAGAAAATGCTCAGCAGTGGTAGGAAAAACCAACATGAGTATAGGCGGGGGAGGAGGAGGAGGAGGAGGAGGAGGAGGAGGAGGAGGAGGAGGAGGAGGAGGAGGAGGAGGAGGAGGAGGAGGAGGAGGATGAGGAGGAGGAGGAGGAGGAGGAGGTTGAGTGCAATGCTGGTCCGTTGTGTGCGGTCATTGGTGGTGCTGAGTGCCCGTGAGCGGTGACACGCGGTGATGAGCGCTGATTAGGTTGGGAGCGGTGTCGAGTGGCTGTGAGTGGCTCTCGGATATTCAGAGTGGCAGTGAGCAGCGCTGAGCTGTGACGAGTGGTGATGAGCGGCTCAGAGAGGTGCGGAGTGGTGATGAGCGGCTTTGAGCGGTGCCGAGTGGTGATGAGCGGCTGTGAGTGGTGCAGAGTGCTGCAGAGCGGTTCAGAGCAGCAGTGAGCGGTGCTGGGCCGTTGTGTGCGGTCATTGCTGGTGCTGAGCGCCCGTGGGTGGTGAGGAGTAGTGATGAGCCACTCTGAGAGGTGCCAAGTGGTGATGAGCTGCTCTGAGCGGTGCCGAGTGCTGCAGAGCAGTTCAGAGCAGCAGTGAGTGGTGATGGGTCGTTGTGTGCGATGATTGGTGGTGCTGAGCGCCCGTGAGCGGTGACGAGAAGTGATGAGCCACTCAGAGAGGTGCCGAGTGGTTATGAGCGGCTCTGAGCGGTGCCGAGTACTGCAACAAGGTTCAGAGCGGCAATGAGAAGTATTGGGCCTTTGTGTGCGGTCATGGTGGTGCTGAGCGCCCGTGAGTGGTGACGAGCGGTGACGAGGGGTGATGAGCGACTAAGAGAGGTGTCCAGTGGTGATGAGCGGCTCTGAGGCGTGCCGAGTGCTGTAGAGTGGTACAGAGCGGCAGTGAGCGGTGCTGGGCCATTGTG